TAGCCAGGACATGGAAGCAACCTAGATGTCCACCGGCAGATGAATGGATAAGGAAGTTGTGGTACATATACACAATGGAATATTACTCAGCTATTAGAACACATTGAGTCAGTTCTAAAGAGGTGGATGAATCTGGAGCCTATTATACAGAGTGAAGTAAATCAGAAAGAAAAACACCAATTCAGCATATTAATGTACATATATGGAATTTAGAAAGATGGTAATGACCACCCTATATCCAAGACAGCAAAAGAGACACAGATGTAAAGACCAGATTTTTGGACTCTGTGGGAGAAGGTGAGGGTGGGATGATTTGAGAAAACAGCATTGAAACGTGTATATTACCATATGTGAAACAGATGACCAGTCCAAGTTCAGTGCATGAAACAAGGCACACTCATAGCTGGTGCCCTGGGACAATCCAGAGGGAGGGGGTGGGGAGCGAGGTGGGATGGCAGTTCAGGACGGGCAGGGGTGGTGGAACACGTGTACACCCGTGGCAGATTCATGCCAACGTATGGCAAAAACCATCACAATATTGTAATTAGCCTCCAATTAAAATTAGTTAATTAATTTTAAAAAAAAGAAAGGTGCCTCCAAGTGCTCAGTGCCATGGATGGAAATGGACCTGTCCCAAAGGTACTGTCGGGGAGGAGGGCAGGGGCCGGGAGATTCAAAGAGAAAACCCTGTAGCTTCCAGAGCAGAAAAGAGACCCCACACAAAGCACCAGGGATCAGATGCCTTCGGACTTCTCACAATAACACTGAAAGAAAATAATCTCCAATGAGAGTTTTTTAATAATAATGAAAGCAAAACTCCTGTCACTTACAAGGTGCCAGGCACTGTTCTAAGAGTTTTCATATATCCTGTACTGAGCCACATTATTAAGGGCAAAGATAGAATGAAGATATTTGCAGACTTGTAAGGTCTCAAAAATCCTCTTTCCCACATCCTCTTTCCTAAGAAACTGTTGGAAGAGGTACTCCACTGAAAGAAAGGGTAAAAAAAGAAGCAGTCCCAGGGAAATCCAACAGAGGAGTGAGATGAGAGATGCCCCTGAAGACCCCAGGATCAGAGAGGGGCTCACTTAGAAGCCTAAGCTTCCAATTCCTGCAACTCTCCCCTGGGCACTGGCGTGCTGGGGTGGAAGTGGGGTTTTAAGTGTTCTCTAAGGAGGCGGGGAAAAGCCAAACAGAAGAAAGCATTTCCACTGGATTGCCCAATCAGAGCTCAGAAGAATCTCCAGGGATCTCAAGCTCCAGGAATTCATTGATTTATCAATCCAAATTAAATATACCTAACTTTGTATATACCTATTTTTTTAAGGACCCCCAGATTGTATAAACTTGAAACCCTACGAAGTCTGGATCTTTCCCTGCTCAGAATGAGAACTGTTCACCAGATAGAAAGGCCAACACTCCAGACTGGAGCAGAAGGTAGACTCCAAGGAAAGTTCCCTTTAAGAAGACGGGATTGACAGAAAACCTGATGTGGTCGTCATGGAGCTCGCCTTCCAGAACCCTCTTCAAGGAAGGGCTTGTGGCCCAGCTGTGGGGAATTTGGACAGCAGACCACCTTCAGCTGTTAGCTCCTTCAGGGTCGGTCTCTGACGCAGAGAGCTGCATTGAAAATGCAGATCCTTCCTGGGGCAGCCCACAGCGGGGACTGAGTCAGGCATAAAGGCCTGGCCATTTCAGTGGGGTTCAGGACACTCTTAGATGGGCCATGCTTGCTTCAGCGCTCCCTGCCAGGCGAGTGGAAGCTTTCCAGGCTTCAATGCAATTTCTTTCCCCCTGCCCCATCCGCTTCCACCCACTGCCACTTCAGAGGTGTTGATCCCTAGTAAACATCTGTCTCCACCTCTATTGCCAGAGACCCCAACCTGAGACACCTGATTCATAGGAACCTCATGAGAAGAGATTTAGGTAACTGGTAGGGGGTGGAACACATACAAACTAAGCAAGTGACGAAATAGGACAATTACTAACTCTGGGGAAAACAAAAAGGTGTACAGGAAAGGAAAAATAATCATAGCATACATATAGTAATGTACATAGTGACTACTGAACTAACCAAGATTATACTGGCAATTTGGAGACGTGGGGATTTATGTGTATGATGGAGCAGGGGATGGAGAAAGAGAATTAAAACTGTATCTTCCATAGTAGAAAATTAAAAGATAGTGTTTAAAACAGAAACATCTAGGGACTCCCTTGACGGTCCAGTGTTTAAGGACTCTACCTTCCCACAGCAGGGGGCATGGGACCTATCCCTGGTTGAGGAACTAGGATTCCAGATGCTGTGAAGTAAAAAAAAAAAAAAATTTTTTTTAAACCCCCCTATAACCCTGAAACATCTAGAAGTGGCAAGACGAGAAGATCAGAGATGATGGAGATGAATCTAAAATACAGTCAGTTAAAAAGAGTTCAAAGTATCCACAGATGTGTCTGTGAACATGGAGATGAGGCAAAAGCATAGTGGACTGGACCACTTTCTGTTTTCAGGAAAAACCTTATAATATTTGGTATGTCTTTAAACCATGTGTATGTATGACTTCTGTTTTTTAAAATATAAGCTTTCTGGTGGTAGGGACCATAAGAGTCTTGTTCTATAAAATCCCCACCTGAAGTAGGTGTTCAAAAAGTTGTTTGTTATTCGAATAATTGAAGTCACCTTACGTTGAAGCTCTAAACAGCTCCTCATAAGGCATACATACTATGATGATCACAATGCTTGTGATGCCTCCATGGACGGCAGGTGAGGTCTGGCCCCTGCAAACTCCTCTCCCCGACTCTTCTTCTCATGCCTCTTTCAGGTGCTCACAGCACACTGTTCCTTCCTGCCTCAGGAACTTTGCACATGCTGTTCTTCTACCTAAAAAGCTCTTCACCAGCATCACCTAGTTCTCCTCCATAAATCAGACTTCAGCTCAAATGTCACTTCCTCCAGGAGGTCCTCCCTGTCTTCTGTCTCCCTCTCTTTACCACCAGCAGGCCTATCCCAGGATCCTCAAGGACCTTGTAGGTTATGTTAAGGCATTTACTCCTTATCTAGAAGACAGGGAGCCACCAGTGTTGCCAGCCAGGAAAGATAAGATTGAACATGCTGGTAGGTCTGGGGCTCAGAGAATGAAGAACAGTAGCAAGCAACTTACTTGGGACACAGATGACCCTTGCTCAACAAACAACGGCCTCATCCTATCTCCCCAGGGTACCTCGGTAATTCCCTATGTGTTTTCCAGAATGGGGCATGACTACCACTGAGGGCTAAACGAGTAATTTTAGTGGCATATGGCCAAATATTTTTCAGAGTTACATATTGTCTTAATGTGCTAAGTCACTTCAGTTGTGTCCGATTCTTTGTGACCCTATGGGGTGTGGCCCGCCAGGCTCCTCTGTGCATGGGATTTCTCAGGCAAGAAAACTGGAGTGGGTTGCCGTTTCCTTCTCCAGGTGATCTTCCTGACCCATAGATCAAACCGGAGTCTCTTCTGTCTCCTGCATCTGCAGGCAGGCAGACAGCTTCTTTACCACTAGTGCCACCTTGGAAGCCCTAATTTTTATTTATTCCTTTATTTTTGACTGTGCTGGGTCTTCGTTGCTGTGCGGGCCTTTCTCTAGTTGCAGCGAGTGGGGGCTACTCTCTAGCTGCCGTGTGCAGACTTCTCATTGCTGTGGCTTCTTGTTGCGGAGCACAGGCTCAATAGCTGCATCACATGGGCTTAGTTGCACTGCAGCATGTGGGATCTTTCCAGATCAGAGATAGAACCCATGTCTCCTGCATTGGCAGGTGGATTCTTTACCACTGGGCCACCAGGGAAGCCCAAAGACTTACATATTTATTTCAACTGGTATTCAAAAATAAAACTTTCATACTAAACCCATGATTTCACGGCCATTATTGCTTAGGACAGACTTCATGAGATTGATACTCAATTGACCAACTAAGATTTGGAGCCTCTTGGTCAAGTCAAATTTGTCAAATACCCTAAAAATCCCTCCATGTCTTTTTCTATACAAGTCTCCTGCCTGAAAGGCCTTTCCTACCCCCTGCTTTGCAAATTCTATGTACCCTTCAAAGTCCCAGTTGAATCCCTGCTCAGGAACATGGCCTTCAGTTAGGGTAGGAGGTTGGCATAGTGGTTAAAAGCCAAGACTTATCAAATGTAAAGTTTGGGCTTTGGGTGATAATGATGTATCAATGTAGGTTCACTGATTGTAACAAATGCACTATTCTCTGTGTGAGATGTTCAAAGGGGGAGGAGGTTATGTGTTGGGGCAGTAGGCATACGGAAACACTGCATCTTAGCTTGATTTTGCTGTCAATGTAAAAATGCTGTAAAAAAATAAAGTCTTAAAAAAAAAATAAAGTCTATTTGAAAAAAAAAAAAAAAGCCAAGGGAGTTCCCTGGTGGCCTAGTGGTTAGGATTCTAGATTTTCACTGCAGAGGCTGCAGTCTTGTCATTGGTGGGGGAACTCAGATCCTGCAAGCCCCATGCTTGGCCAAAAAAAAAAAAGCCAAGGCTTAGAAATTTGATCCTTAGCTAGCTGTGTGACTTTGAGCAAGACACTTAACGTCTCTGAACTTTTCCTCATCTGTTGGATAGGAATAACAGTGCCTACCCTTAGAGGATTGTGGTGAGAATTTAATGTCATCATGCATATAAAAGTGATCAGTAAATGTCTACCATACAGTAAGCCCTCTTCAAAAGTAACCTGTTATTTTTATGAGTATGGGGAGCAATGAATATGACTTTCCCTACTTAAATTATTCGTCTTTGTACGCCTTTCACAGAGTACGTGCTTCGGAAAAGCTGGCTGGTTGTTGGAGAATTTGCTGCCTTTGGAAGGGGCCATTCTCAACCACATCTCCACATCTCCTTATTCAGTGAGCAACAAGATGCTGGCGGTTACTGGATGTCCACACCCGAGTCCCATGCCGTCCTGAGTAGGATCCACGGCAGCTGGGGGAAGCCCTGGTGACCGCTCCGCCGCCGCCATGGCAACTTCAACCCCATCTCTGGAAGCTAGAGGGTGAGGAGCAGGGTGTCTAAAGTCAGTCTCCCCAAGGGCGGCCCTCCCGATGTCTTGGATACCTGTTCTCCCATCCCGGCCCTGAGGAGTCTCTTCAGGTACCGGGCAGGCGCTGCTCCCGGGGGCCACACGGTGGCGGCGTAGAGCCGAGCCCCGCGCCCAACCTGGGAAGCGCTGGCAAAGGCAGAGCCCCAAAGGGTGGCCTCCTGCTCCCCACCCCTTTGCCAGGACAGGTCACGGCATCCAGGCCGAGAGAACCGCTGGGCCCAACCTCACTTCATTACCTCCGCTGGACCCTCGACTCCCGACCCTAGGCCGGGCGCTCCCGGTTCGCTTGACTCGCCCTCCACGCCCAACAAACACTGCGGGAGCTACCCCGCCGTGCCGCCACTCCCGCGCAGCACACCTGGCGGGTACCGGGCCAGCTCGTGCTCAGATTCAGGCTCCGAGCCCGCCGGACCCAGACCGAGCGTCCAGTCCCAGCTCCCATAGTGCGCGGGCCCGAAGGGATGAAGGTGGGCGTGGGCTCGGACTCAGGTCCTCACAGCCCGGACCTCCGGCCCGCTTCATCCTCGGCTTCCGCTTCCGGGCCTGCTTCGTCTCCGAGCTTCTCTGAATGCCGCGAGTCCCCTTCCTTACCATCCGAACGCAAGTCTCAAGGACTGAAAGCATTCCTAGGGCTCGACCTGTAGCGGGGTCCCCTTAACCGCGGGGAGAGACAAACAGGGCAAGCGCGGGCACATGGGGCAGGGCTTTGGGGGCGGGGCCTCGGGCGACACTTTGGGGAGGAGCCCTGGGGGCGGGGCCTCCGAACTAGCGCGCCCGCGGGCCGGGGAGGTACGCGAGGCGCGCGCAGGGTGCCGGGAGCGCGAACTACGCGGAAAAGGGGTGGGAGGTGGGGGGAAGGGAAGGCGCGGGACTGGGGGCTGGGCGGTCGCCGGGGGTGGTTTGAGTGAGCGAGCGCAGGGCCGGCTAGACCTGGAGGGTGAATGGTCAGGCCCTGGGGTTGGGCCTGGATTTGGGGCCCCAAAGCGGGAAGGGCCTGGGGTGGGGGGGGCGAGAGGAAGAAAGAAGCAGGAGCCCCGCCCACTTTCCGACCTGGGTTTCTTGGAACGAACCAGGAAATCTTGGGGCTTGATCTGTGGCCATGGTGTTTATAGAGAGGGCTGATAGGGGGCCCCATATGGTTTTTATAGAGATGGCTGATAAGACACCCATTTCCCCCACATTCCAGGAAGTTCTCAGGCTTGTGCCCCAAGTGTTTGGGGGGGCTCAGCAGCCCCCTCCCCCACACACTGCAGAGTGAGCCCCACCCTAAGAACCCAGGAAGGCCCTGTGGTCCCTCCAGAGCCCGCCCTCATCTTCAGTTTCAACGAGATTTGGGGAGAGGAAGTCTTGGGGGCCACAGGCCACATACATCTAGAAAGATCTTCAGGCCCCAGGGCCTTCACTGTTCCTCCTACCCTCCCGGCTCCCACAAACCTTACTCTCCTTAGCAGAGGTATTAGAGGGCCCCGTGGGGCGAAATGGAGCAGTTTCAACTGGCTTCTTTCTATTGCAGTCTGCAAAAGAGGACGTAGGGCGAGGACGAAGATGAGGGGCCCTGTTAACCCTTCCTGCCCTGCCTAGTGGCTGGCAGGAGCTCAGCAATTGGGCTGAGGTGCGCAGAATCTCAGAGTCCTTTTGTTTTCTGGTGTTCCGTTCTGTGGGCCTGGGAAATAACAGCTAGAAACTCTGCCAGTTTTTTAAGCCCCTTCAGTGTTTCTCTTTTGTGTAAAAGTAGTTCATGCATATTATATTTTTTAATTAAACTTTACAAAAATACGGATTTGAAAGTTGAAAAACATCTTCACTGATAATTGCTTAACATGTATAAAAACACAGGCATACATAAAGGGGTCAAACCACATATAGTTTTGCAACTTGCTGTATATTGTGCACGTTTATAGTGTGTGTCATTTATAGAGATACTTCATTTTTAAGGAGTTCATAATATTCCAGAATACAGGTACCCCATAATTCTTTTGATCTTCTACTGATAAACATTTAGTTTTATGCTTATGTTTGTAGTGATCTTCATGTTGTTTCATTTTAAATTACAAATATGTGCTTATTGGAAAAAATGTAAATAAAATCTTGATAAAGGCAGCACCATATTCGTACCAGCTAACTCCTTTATTTTGTAAGCTACGTTTTATGGAACGCTTACTGTATGCCAGATACCATGCTAAGTCATTCATGGAACAGCAATCTGAGGTTTGAAGAAATGTCTCCAGTGAGGCTTGCCCAAGGTCACACAGCTAGAAAGTGGCAGAGCCAGGACCCGACTTTATCTGATTCCAAAGCTTTCCTGGCATCTTCTGTTAACATTCATGTGTCTTTCCTTCCAACCTTTAAAAAAAAAAAATGCAACAGGACAAAAATACTCACATGTAAATATGCACTGTTTTTCCTCCTCCCCAGGCTTAGTTCTAAGGAGCCTTTGTAAGGAGGGCAGAGGGAGATGAATAGACCTAAGCAGAAGAGTGGAGAGACCTGAAGGAATTTCCTTCCAGCCCCACTCAGGAAAAGCTGCTACTGAGAGGAGGGAGGGGATTTGGCAGAGTTTGGGTGGTCAAGAATTTGGAAAAAAAGAGAAAAAAGGGAGAGCTTGGGGAGCTGTTGTAATAGTGTGAAACTTTAAGGAAGAGAGATTTGGGAGGATTCTGAAAAAGAGGTCTTGCCATTCGTTGTGCTGCGTAATCAATCCCTTTGCAGTGTCCTCCAGAGAGCTTTGGTAACAAAGCTTTTTGTTTCCTGTCAGTGCTTTTTGCAGTTGGATCGATTTCTTTTGGGTGAGAAGGGAGCAAAGAAAGACAAACTTTCTCCAGGTTCGCATGCATTTTGTTTACTTTTTCTTTTATGAAAATGAGATAGCCTCTCTACTCTTGCTCACTCAGTACCCGCTCCCTAGAGTGCCCTGTCTTTCCTGTGTCCTTCTCCAGTCCCCTTATCCTCGAAGGCTCACCTCTTTCCCTCCTGTTGGCCCTTGCTTTTTCCAAGTCCCTCATGATAGCCCAAATCAGGACAGATGACTGGCCCCTTGCTGGTAGGCCATATTGAGTAGGAATTTTGCCATCACCAGAATCTCTTTGGTTACAACAAACTGTGCTGGTTTGCTGGCTTTAGAAATCCTGGTGTCAAGCAGAGTACCCAGGCACCAGTTATCATTACCGGGGAAGACTCTATAAACACATCTACCCATTTCCTTTTGGCATCTGAGTAGTTGAGGGAGACACAAAGCAGTCAAGCACCAGATAGAACAATGCTTTACTCACGTAGAGAAAAGACAGAACAAGAGCAACTTCAGGAGTGGGTGTTGGTCTCTCATTGCCTGGGGATCTCTCGCAGTGATCAGCACAGGGAATTCACTGTATTCCCCGTTTTGTGCCCCAGGGGAAGGACCTTGTCCCCTCTAAGAGGAGGACAGATACAGCAATGGAGTTGGCTCATGCCAAATGACCGACATGCTTTAAGCAGAGGTGAACGAGTACTCGTGACACCTGAAACAAGGAAAGAAACCCACACAAGGTGATAAATCCAGCACTGGTTGCACGGGCTCTTTATCTCCTGGTTAGGAAGAGTTCCAGACCCAGGGCCCATTCTTATGTGATTGAGTAAGGGTTCAAAAACTGCAGGCAAGAGACTTTCTCAACATTTGGCCATCATGACTCTTGTTTCCATCTTTGTTTTGACTGCTAAGAAACTCAGAACTTTAAAAAAAAAATCCACATTTTGTTTATTTAAAATTTTTATTTACTTATTTTTGTCTGTGCCGGATCTTTGCTTTGTGTGGCCTTTCTCTAGTTGCGGTGAGTGGGGACTGCTCTCTGTATGCGGTGCACGGGCTTCTCATTGCAGCGGCTTCTCTTGTTGCAGAGGCGAGTGGGCACCACAGTTGCGGTGCACAGGCTTAGTTGCTCCACCGCATGTGGAATCTTCCTGGAGCAGGAATCGAATGTAAGTCTCCTGTGTTGGCAGGCAGATTCTTAATTACTAGACCATCAGGGAAGTCCCAGAACTTTTCTACTGCTGGATCGGTATTTTCTCTTTGTCCCAATTTTCTTAATTACTTATTTTTAGCTTTTAAAAATCTTTTTATTATGGACTATTTCAACATTTATTTATTTATTTTTGGCTGCATCAGGCCTTAGTTATGGTAGTCCAGCTCCATTGTAGTTGTGGAGTACAGGCTTAGTTGCCCCAAGTCATGTGGGATCTTAGTTCCCCGACCAGGGATCAAACCTGCATCCTCTGTATTAGAAGGTGGAGTCTTAACCAGTGGACCACCAGGGAAGTCCGTTTATTATGGAAGATTTCAAACACTTGAAAGTAGAGAGAATGTAATAAATTTTCAAATACCTATAACCCATCCTCAATAATTATCAACATTTTGCCAATCTTGTTTCATCTGCCTTCCCACTTTTCCTTCCCTCTGAAGTATTATAAATCACACCACAGACATCATATCACTTCACTGGAATTATTTCAGCATATGTCTTTAAAAGCATATGTCTTTCAAACACAACTGCAGTGCCACTATCATGCCTAACAAAATTAATACAAATTCCTTAAAACCTTTTAATACCCAGTTCGTGTTCAGATTTCTTTAATAGTTTGTTTCAATCAGGACTCAAATAAGGCTCACATAGTTCATTTGGTTGATGTATCTCATAAGTAACTTTTCATCTGTAACAGTTTTCACTTTTCTTTCATTTTTCATGCTATTTATTTGTAAAGGAAACCAAAGAATTTGTTCTATAAAGCTTCCCACATCCCAGAAGATTTGACTGATTGCTTCCTGATGGTGTAGTTTAACTTGTTCTTCTGTCTCTTGAATTTCCAGTAGACTGAACATTAGATCTAGAGCTGGATTGTGTGTGTTAGTCGTTCAGTTGTGTCCAACTGTTTGTGACCCCTCAGACTGTAGCCTGCCCGGCTCCTCTGTCCATGGGATTTTCCAGGCAAGGATACTGGAGTTGGTTGCCATTTCCTTCTCCAGGAGATCTTCCCAACCCAGGGATTGAACCCCTGTCTCCTGCATTGCAGGCAGATGCTTTACTGTCTGAGCTACTAGGGAAGCCCCAGAGCTTGATTAGGTTTAATGTCTTTGGCAAGCATACCTTATTGGTGATGATGTTATTATGTCATATCTAGTGGTACATAATGTTGACTTGAAATATTTTTATTGACTGATTCATGGTTTCAGGGCCCTTGGCCTAATCTCTTCATTATAGAATTCCCCCCAAAGTTTTATCTGTTAATTTCAGCATCCACTGATGATCCATTATTTCATTAGGTGTTACAAAATGGTGACTTTCTATTAATAATTCTATCATTCTTTTTGCATTCATTAGCTGGAATTCTTCCATAAAGAATAACTTTTCCTCATCCATTATTTGATTTTCCTGAAACAGTGTGTACAGGAAAGTTAAGATAAATGCTTCGTTCCTTTTATGTATTTTTAATTTTTTTGGCTATGCTATGCATCTTCAGGATCTTAGTTCCATGACCAGAGACCAGGCCACTCCAGTGAAAGTGCTGAGTCTTAACTACTGGACTGCCAAGGAATTCCCT